TGCTATTACACCATTAACACTAATGATAATTAATAAATTCATTCATTCATTCATCAATGGCTCTACGTCATCTTTGTCGGGCCCTGGACGCTTCTTCAGTTTCGTAATCTTTTTTTACACGGACGGTGGAACTCCTTGGACGAGTGATCAGCCCGTCGCAAGGCCGCTACCTACACACAGAACAACACAAACACAGAATAAACTCACACACAGACATTCATGTCTTGATTCGGATTCGAACCCACGATCCCAGTGTTCGAGCGAGCAAAGACACTTCCCGCCTTAGACCACGAGGCCATTATGAACGGCAGTAATTAACATACACTGTTAAGCAATCCACTGTGAAATATGCAGACATATCAAGGCGCGTCCACATTACTCGTGCTGGTGTGACTTGCTATGCTCGCGAGTAGTGTGGACGATATGACAAATCACGAAACAAGCAAATTTAAAATTTTTAATTTAAAAACTATAGCCAATAAACTAAAATACGACTACAGCCTATACACACTACGCGTAAATATACGGATCCTCACGCGCCGAAGCCTGGCGAGCAACTGTAGTAGTGTGGACGAAGATTTACGAGCACATGTAAAAGCCAGACGAGTCTCCCGACGAGCACGAGTAATGCAGACCTTTCAGAATACGGGGCCCGTAAAGAAAAAGGAGCCATTGAAGTGGAAACGAGAGTCATGAGGATATCGGTGCTGCAGGACTGGTTAGAGAATAATTACAGATACAGGACGATTTAAATAAAAACCAGAGTAATAAAACAACTAGATTATAGCGTGCATAATGAATGAGTGGAAACAGACCCTCTAATAAAGGTTTTATCAAAAGAAACCAAAGAATAGTAAAGAGAGATCGGCTAATAAAATATGAAATATAAAAATGTGATCACAGTCTCTTGTGACAGAACATTTAACAGTAATAGTTTATGGTGATGATTATATTAATGAATTCTGATTATAATAAAAAGAGAGCTGGAGAGAACATTTATCTGCCCGAAATATATATTTCTCGGGCAGGACTCAGATTTTCGTTGATTTCTTCAGTCACTGGCAAATTCCAGAATAATGCGTTAAATTAGGCTACATTGTACATACTTTTTTTAATGCTAGTGGGGTGGGACTAAGTCCCTTGTACTGCGGCCACTTCTGGCCTATTGTACCAGCCCCAGATGATAGGTGAGGGTGATTGTGGAGCAATTGGTGGAATGAAGATTGGCAGGGGAAACCGAAGTACTCGGAGAAAACCTGCCCCATCGCCACTTTTTCCACCACAAATCCCACTTGACCAGACCCGGGATCGAACCCGGGCCGCCGCGGTAGGAAGCCAGCGACTAACCGCTTGAGCTATGGGGCGGCCTTTGTACATACTTTCATTTTCTCATTTCATTATTCAGTTATTTTCCTAACCTTCGACGCTCGTATATGTATATGTATATGTATATGTACACTTACATCTGGACGCTCCTATAATTTGAGTTCCGGAAACTATTACAGGCGTCAAGGCTTGAGTATGGTTTGCGATTCTTATGAAGAGATAGGAAACATTTAATATTATAAATATTCATTTCATCTTTTTGTGGTATAAAGACCGTCGAAAAGCACGATAACTACTTCTCTTTTATCTTGTCAATTTCCGTAGTTGCAGTAAACAAGAATCCCTTTTCCTTTAATAGGCGTAAGATAATTGTATTTCTCTTACGCCACGTAAGCGTGATAATAAGCCAGCACTCAACAACAACACAGTACGATTCTCAGTAAACAGTGAGCTGATTACAGCCGATGTTATCTTAAGGTAACCTTCATGAGAAGCCAATAGACGCTCAGATGATCAATAAATCCCCCGCCCTTCTTGAAACCCGAAGGCTCATTACTGCTTTCACACAAGAGCCACTCACTTGACCTAATCGAAATCACATCACATCACATCTCTGGACGCTACTTAAAAGAAAATTTCACATTATCATTCATTAACATCGAGATGTCCCGGGTGATCTGTTCTCTTAAGATTTTCCGCCTCAATGTTTTATTTACTTACCATTTAATAATGTGTGCTGCATGTTCCACCTGCCCCTGTTCAGTGATTTAGGTTAGCTCTTTCCGACAGACCCAACAGAGTAGACGCCTTTCGCCCTTTTACCTGAAGATGGAAACAGATCCAGTTTCCGAAACGCTGTGTTGTTTGGAATACTGGACGATGGACATGTCCAAAAAAATCAGTCATCCCACCCTAATAATACTGACTAAGGATAAAAATTGTGTAATTTTCTCTTTTCTCTCTCTGTCTTTAAAATATTGTCCTCGGTCATTTTTTCTGGAACACCCTCCAACACTGTTCCTCCCTTAGATTGAGAGACCAAGTTTCACAACCATATAAAAGGATAGGCAGAATTATAGTCCTTAACGTAATGTTTCACATGTGTATGATGAGAGGAAATTCGTCTGCAAGTTTTCCTTAAGTCAGAATTGACACTTGGTCATAAATACAGCCACTTCTTGCCATCCGCTTCCTGAAGAAAGAAATATAACAACAACCACCGCAATACCTGCTGGTGAGGACAGAAAATTGAGCGTGTGTCCGGACCCAGAGTGTTGAGACCCGAAATAAAAAGAAGAGGGTGCTGTGACGTTGATGGATCGGATGAATGGCGTTTGCTACGGGGACTGCAGCACAGTATGGTTTTATGTAAACGCTCATCATGTGTTATTTGCCTCGAGCGGAGTCCCACACCAAAAGGCCACTGCACCAAACCATACATCGAACGTCGAGGTATACATGCAAGCATTCATTATCTCGTTTCTATTCCGTCTGGCCCCAAGGTTTCATCATATCCTTACGTTGTAAAGTGTGGGAAGAAGATGAACACTGGTCGTGCGTAGTACTGGCTGTAATTTAAACACAAGTTCAGTATGCAACCACCTTTCTGAAGCAGGTTTATCTAATTCCTTATCTCCTACCTATAAAAAGGTAAAGCTGACCCTGTAACAGGTCGTGAAGGACCATAATGGTGTGAGAGGTCGAGGTTCCCACATCCTCTAGACAGTCGGCTCATAGATGACTGTAAAGTTGTCAGCTTTACGAGCCGGCCGTACTTTACCCCCCCCCCCCCCACGAAAATTCCTGGTACTCATTTCTGTAAGAGGCTGAGTCGATCCCAGGGCAATAGTGCGGCTGGAATAATTAGGTCAATCAAAAAATCCAATGAACTCTCCTACCTAAAGTAATGAGAAAGTGCACTTGTCATTCAGTATTTTATAATATACAGAACATTCAAAGGCAAGAAATGTCTTCTCCTGTTCGATCGCTGGGATCGTGGGTTCGGATCTCACTCAAGACATGGACGTCTGTTTGTGTTCATTCTGTTTGTGTCAAGTAGCAGTCTTGCGACGGGATAATCCCCCGTCCAAGGAGTCTGCCAACTGTCATATTAAGAAACTGGAGTGAAACGAAACCTTTCACAGATGCCTTATATTCCAAGTGGGAACAACAGGAATGGAAGCAGAAGAAGAAGAAGTATACAGTCAATAGCCTTCCCCTCTGCAGCTGTATCCTCATGATCGGAATATCCCTGAAGTTCACACCATCAAAAACCATTTAATAGCTAACTCAAGGAAGGGTATATACACAACGGCATGAAGACGTAGCCCAAAGTGACACTTATTTACTATACTGAGGCCACGAAAGCTGTTCAGCATTCTGGAACATTATTGTAAACAGAATCACCACACATTCAGTCATAGAGCAATTAATTTTCCACAGGTCATACAAATTTTAAGATAATTTGTCTGTATGCTTGTTATTTCTGAAGTACGTAAAATATAATATTAGATTAGGACATTTGCGGGGGAATTTTAGTTTTTCACAACAATGACTTGATGAGTTCTACCATCTGTATAACTCAATGTAGTCCGGTGAAATTCAGGCAATAATTCTTCAGGACACATTTTATATGCTTACGCGTCTAGCCTAGTTTCTCGGTAAACCGATTGTTAGCAACTTACTCGTACAACAATCCCGAAAACTTCCTGTGCCCCTTTAATGCAACAACTAATCATTTAATCACCCAGCAAGCTAATCCATCTACCATCCATTAAATCATTTACAAAATCGTTCATCCTCTTAGTTAACCTGTCAATCGCTAGACAATCAGTCGCTTCATTAATCAGTTCCTCTGTCTATCAGCCAACAAAATATTATAATCAATAAGTGTGTGAATAAGTAAGCTTATAGTATACATCAGTCACATGTGCCTTCTCACATAGAGTAGTTAGGCAATACACACACACGCAGTAACAGAGGTACAACAATACGTCCGCGAATTCGCCTTATAAAGTTAACGGGGGATTTTGGCAACTACAAGGAAACCTTCAGAAGCGCTCTGCAGGACTAAGAGCTACAGGTAGATATAAATTGTTATGGAGCCCGTATTTATAGTTTTATATGGCTCTAATATTCGATCTGTCATCCTGAGGGAAAGAACCTACATCTTTGCCTCTGCAAACATAGTGCCGCGAAAACTGTTTGGACAGAGGAAGTACTTGTAAATAAGATCTAAAGGATCCCGACGATGGAGAATAGGTATTAAAACTAAAATTCTGGGCTGTATCCATCGTCCCAGTCAATTGAACCACGACGTTTCGGAAGCTGGATCTGCTACCGTCCTCAGGTGAGTATAATGGAGATAAAAAGGAAAAAATTGGGAAAGAATTAAAAGGTAAGGAGGGTTCTTATGTATCCTATACAGTTGGGTCCCTTAGATCAAGCTAATCTCAATCACTGGACAAACTGGCAGGGGACGAAATCAAGGGTGATCAATTCATAGTGGGAAATTGTCAATGGGAGATAAAAAGACGAATCAAGATAAAAATTATTGAAAGGCCCAAATCGTCTGGGACAAGGAGCAAAGAAAGAATTGAAATATTCTACAGGAATATAGAGTGAAGGAGAAAAGGAAAAAAAAAGGAAAAAAAAGGAAAAAAACTTAGGGAGTTCTAATCACCCCTCTTCTTGCTGTTATGAATGCCATTCATTTCCTCAAACACCAGGGGTGACCAAATGATGGAGAAATCCAAGCTGGGTTGGCTGATCGTGTTGCCAGCCCAAGCCATATATGCTGCCTCCTTGTATTTCCTGATGGTAGCGTTCCTCTCGAGGTCCAGGATCCCCGTTCCATCCCACTTCACAGAATGGTCCTCCTCGTAGGCATGTTGGGCCAATCTTGACTTATCCAGAAGGCCCTCCTTGAACATGTGCTTGTGCTCACGAAGTCTCACTGCCAGTGGTCTTCCAGTCTCCCCGATGTAATATCTGCCACACTCACAAGGGATACTGTAAATACAATGTGAGGTATGCTGAGGTTCTCCTTTTGGAGTGGTCTTGACAAACATACTCTTGAGGGTATGTTTTGTTTGAAAAATGGTTTTGATCTTGAACCGTTCAGCTATCCGTTTGATTTTTTCGGAAACACCCTTAACGTATGCAATGTACATAGTACCCATGTAATTCTGTTCTGGTCGAGAGCAGGATTTTGTTTTTAAAGGCAGAGTCGATAAAACTCGGGGGGTACCCATTCGTAAGGAATTCCCGTCTTAAGTGGGATATTTCTTTATGCTGGTCATTTTGGTCCTGGCAAATGGTAATGGCTCTTTTTTGAAGACCCCGGAAGTACTTGTAGGCTGCAAAAACTTGCATAATTTTCAGTCTCCACCAGAAAGGTAGTTAATAGAGCGATAGCATTAAGGGGATTGAAATGAGTGGGACATATAGCACGGATGTAAGAGATGAGAAATTCTTAAGACATTTTAGTCGGAAAAATCAAAGGATAGAGATAGCTTTGGAAACCTAGGCTTTGATGGGATGATAAAATGAAAATGGATCTTAAAGAAATGGATTATGCAGTTGTGGACTGAATTCAGCTGTATCCAAGTGTGGGCTGTTTTGGAAAGGTTAAAGAAATTTTGGATTTTATAGAGGGAGAAGTATTTCTTGACCGATTTATGGAATGTTAAGTTTCTCAAGAAGGATTCTGATACTTTTAATTACCTTCAAAGTATATATGGATAAATACCGTCTTAAGTGCAACAAATTTTATTGTAGTTTTTACTTCTTTTTCCTCCTCCACACTACATGTTTCGGCCCTAAATGGCCATCATCAGGTGTGTATCACTCACGTAGCTGTTACACTGCTTGTTAAAATTTAAAATTACTAGTCTTTCTAATTGTATAAAATCTTTGTTAATCTACACGCGTCGATTTGATTTTTAAAATTTGTTGCACTTAAGACGGTATTTATCCATATATATTGTGTGAGTGTAACAGGATGCTGAAATATAACATTGTAAACCTTCAAAGTACCTGCTATACTGAACTTTCGTTCGTCACTTTAAACCACTTCAGGCAACCAATAATATTTCACTTCAAATAATATATCTTACATACACGTAGTTATACTAACAATCATTGATGACATACACACACATATATACATACTGTCACGTGTAAGGGTTTTCACTCGTGACTTATAAGACGGGGTTTGGATTGGATGATTGGATTTATTGCAACTTATACATTAACAAATTGCAATTACGGGCAATACGAGTATAGCGCTGTCTCTGATTTACACACTTAACAGTTCACAGTTACACACGCACTAGGATTCTCAGTCTTCACTAGTCGTATCCTGGCAACATAACAGTCGCACTGTCACCTCATATTACACACGAAGTCTTCTTTTCACAGTCTAGTTCCTTTCTTGCCATTATTCTGCAACTGCCAATTCCGAAGACTCGATTCAATTCAATTCCTCTGCTCCCAAGATCATATTCCGGCAGGCTGGCGTCTCGAAACTCGACTCTTCACTCTCTGTTGCCCAGTTTAATTCTTCTTTATAACCACTTTGCACGGCACCCACGGAAAACGCGGTCTTATTTTGTCCTGTATTTTTAGGAGTGTTTACTGCACCCTCGCATAGCAACGGTTGTGGCACGGACCACAAAGAAAACATTCTCTCTATTGTTGAGGCGTGTTTACCGAGTCCTTGTCAAACAATGGGTATGCACGTCACAATACATATATACATACACACATACATACTCGTACAACTTGGATTGTATTTATCGTATCGATTTTTAGAATTAATAAACTAGTGGCATGAATAATTAATTAATTTTAACGAAATTTCCGAAAGGAATGGCAGTCTATTGTGTGATGCCTTTCTTTAACATCATAAATACATTATTTTTTGTTATTTTTACGAAATTCGATTGGCACTGAGGGCATCAGTGTCAATATGTTAAAATCCCAATACCAATAATAACAATCTGGCAATACTGCCAACATTTGAGGCGGACTGAATAAGAAATAATGTATATACCAATATTCAAGCAACTGTTCCACTTCAAATTGTGACTGGGCTTAGCCAATAACTTTATTTTCTTTTCCCGATTATGATGTTGTCTAACCAACTACTAAGCACATTTATAAAGTAGATATGTTTAAAGGGTACGATCCCGGGTCTGGTTAAGTGGGATTTGTGGTGGAGAAAGTGGCGCTGGGGTAGGTTTTCTCCGAGTACTTCGGTTTCCCCTGCCAATCTTCATTCCACCAATTGCTCCACAATCACCCTCACCTATCATCTGGGGCTGGTACAGTAGGCCGGAAATGGCCGCAGTATGAGGGACTTAGTCCCACCCCACTAGCAATAAAAACAGTTATGTTTAAATGTTTTATCTGGTTGTCAGTTTCGTGTGTATCACTTTTTTACGCATCTAAACTAAGAAGGAACATGGCGATAGAAAATTCTTTTAAGTTTATGTTTCTGTGAGAAACTGACAGGTTGAATCTATCCCCATACAGCACACGGATGTAGGCATCAACCGCTCGATATGAGTGGTTGAACTGCACACATTGTCCCCTGTAAACGAGTCATTTTTGTGTGGTACACCTTCGCCATGTTGAGTCATAGGTGGAGGCCCCATGTTTGAGGGGCTCAATGCGCATATTGCGTTCAGACTAATTATGTAACTCTTGTATGGAACGGACCTAAAAAATAATTCTGAGGATATATCATGGAGGCTCGGTGTCGCGTATCCCACTGGACATAAAAAATTAATGAACTGGCCCTATATAATTAAAACCAAACTCAACACCTATAGGGTGATTAAAAAGTAACTGGGCACTTTTTCTTTTTCCTTGGCACTACAGTCCCAGTGGGCCTAGTCCTACCTCCATGAACTTCTCCGTTCACTTCGGTTTTTCTAGATCTTACACGTTCGGCAGGACTCCTTGGGCGGGTGATCAGCTCGTCGCAAGGCCTCTACCTGTACACAAACACAGAAAAACGCACACACACAAACTAAACATCCATGCCCTGAGTGGGATTCGAACCCCCGAACGCGGTTTCCAAGCGAACGAAGACAGCACATGCCTTAGACCGTTCGACTACCGTGACCGGCGGGCACTTTCTATTATACAAAATTTAAAACGTTCTCGACGAGTGGTCATCTAGAAGAAATAAAAATAATTTTATTATAATACAACAAGATTACAAAGCATTAAAGGGAGGCAAATGGTCAGTTTCACTGCCTAGTGGTTGTACATCCGTTGCGAGAAACAAGCGCCTCGAGGTAATTGTACCTCGATTCCTCGACTGTCCTGCTGTTATATTATACCGAGTGAGCTATCCCGGCTCTGGTGAGAGTAATGAGTCATAAAAATATTGGTAGTCCTAATAGACCGATCACAGTGGCCGCGCTGTGTAGGGCATGAACTTCTGTTCGCTCGCTCGAACACTGAGTCGTAGTTTCGAATCCCAAGCAGTGGATGTTTGTGTGCGCTTATTCTGTGTTTGTGTTGTCCTGTGTAGGTAGTGTCCTTGCGTCGTGCTGATTCCGCGTCCAAGGAGTCCTACCGATTCTCTTAGGATTAAGGAACTGAGGTAAAACAAAGCGTTTCACGGATGTCCTATGCTCCAAGTGAGAAAAGCAAGAAAGAGAGAGAGACATAATAGAAATGGTAATAAGGAATCAAGTTTCATTTTATTTATGGTATTATGAACATGATATGTACGTGTTATGATGATCTCCAAAGAGAAAGTAAGGATTCGAGTATATCTGCAACAGTCTGTCTAGCTCTGTTCCATATTTTACACAATTTCTCGTATCTTTATCATATTTCCATCAATCTTCGAGATTCTGGTAAATCGAAAATGGTAGCACATGTCGATGCATTCAGTGTAAAATGTTCCAGATTTCGTATCCAGCTGAGCCTGAAGCATGCAGCTCCGTGGTGCGGTCTGTATTAACACCGTCTGAGTGCTTTCTTCCATTACATTGAGCCGTATAAAAACGATTACTTAGAAGTCTCGGCTTCCTACAGCCGGCTGGATCTGTACCGCCCAAGCTAGGCCTCAGACTTATGTTTCTCTTCTTCCAAAACCAGAGACAATCGTATAAAATCAATATCCTCTCAATATCGGATATTGAGATTAATTCAGCGCATACAGAACACGTTGTGGATAAGATAACAAAACTTCATATACAAGAAAAAGTTTTGAGCCGTAGCTTCATGGCATAAAAATTGTGATATATGTTTCAGTGAAGTCTCAGGGCTTATCTGTTTCCCGTACATAGTGGAACTCTTGATAGAATGCAATGCATATTGCGAGAGAGGTTTGTGGTAGTGGCATTCAGGCTGCAAAGCTCATGAAAACGTGAATGGAGAAGCTTAGTCAGATTTAGAATAAAACAGAAACCACACGTGCCCTATTTCATTTACTCCCTTTATGCTTAATATTAAATTATAAAACAAACTCCGTGGTTTTAGTCCGCAAGTGACCTATACCGACCGAGCTACCGCCGCTTGTCGGCGAAGTTAATGCCGATTTTTGCGGATAGATGGTTTCGCGTGGTCAGCGCAACGGATCCTCACGGCCGATAATTTCGGTTTTCTAGACCGGAGATGCTATTGCTTTGAAATAACTCCACAATTACCCTCATGAGGCTGAATGGACCCGTTCCAGACCCACTACTCAGAGAATCTGGTAGCGCCGGGAATTGAACCCGGACCTCAGGACCTGTAGCCAGGAACTCTGACCACTAAACCACAGAGGCGATTGACTTAAATATTGTAGTGGGAAAACTAAAGTGTCATTATATCCTTGAATATGTATTGTTCCTTATTTAAATTTGTGTAGAATCTTTCCCAGAAATAAATTGAAATTATATTACTGCAGAAATTACTTTATTTCTTTTTGTTTGCTACATTTATCATCCATTCACACTAAGTCTTATTGAAATCATAACGAATCGCATTAACTTACATTGTCTGATCAGAAACCTTAAATTATCAAAATCGCTTATGTGCCCTCCTTTGAGAGTTTTAATTAAATTTTTCGTAAGTTGTTTGTTTCTAACGTGGCTAAATTTTTTCCACGTGAACTTCTTTTATTCAATCATAAAACGTTCACAAACTTGCTCTGTACGTAAATTTC